TTTGATATGTTTGCTTATTGCTATAAATTGACCTCTGATTACTGCTTTGGCTGTTTCCCAGAGGTTTTGGTAAGTGGTGTTTTCATTGTCATTTGTTTCAAGAAACTTTTTAATTTCATTATTTCTTCTAGTACCCACTCATGTTCAAGCAAGATGTTTTTCAGCTTCCAAATGTATGGGTGTTTGTTGTGGGGTTTTTTCCTTTTATCCTCTTATTATTAATTCCTAATTTTGTTGCATTGTGGTTTGAGAAAATGCTTTGTATTATTTCTATGTTTTTTAATTTATTGATGCTTGCCTTGTGACCTAAAATGTGATCTATTCTGGAGAAGAAGGTATACTGTGTTTTTTGGGGGGGTGCATTAACTGATAAATATCTATGAGGGTGAGTTGGTTTATTGTGTGGTTTAATTCTTGAGCATCTTTGTTGAGTTTTTTTTCTGGTAGTTCTATCTTTTCTAGAAAAGGCTCTGTTGAAGTCTCCAATTACTATAGTAGTGTGGTCTATTTTCTTTTTGTTTTGTTAATGTTTGTTTTATATATTTTGCAGGTCTTTCATTTGGTACATATATATTTATTATTGTTATGTCATTTTCTTCTATTGACCCTTTAAGCATTATATAGTGACCTTCCTTGTCCATTGTGATGGGTCTTTCATTGATACAGTGTCACCTTTTGTGGATGGCATCTTGCTTTGTGTTTATCTTGTGTGTGAGGTAGCCTGCTTCTTTTGTGACATTGATAGGTTCTTGATCTAAAGACATTGCTCTAAAAATCGGTGGGGACCTGTGTTTTTCTCTGAACTTTTGACTCAAGGGAAGATTCGGTTCAAGGTGTGTGAGAGCAGCCTCTTGTAGTTAAGTCAGATCAAGGTGCTCTGGATTTAAGGCAAGTTGATCGACAGACTGGATGGGGAGGCATGGGTGTGGAGCCAAATGGGAGGCGGGGTAGGCACAGGGGCAGGGTGACCACCAGGGCAGGTCAGTCACTTGCAGGGACCTCACTCAGATTTCAGCTGTCTGGTATGCTTACGAGTGGGGTCCCTACTCAAATTCCAGTTGTCTATCTCCCACCCAGTGGCTCTCGCTAAGCAGTCCTTGCCCATTGGCCCTTACCCAGGTGCCCTTGCCCAGCAGGGCTTAAGAAAACTCAGTCAAATTCTTACTGATCCTTTTGCTCCTGGCCAGTTGGTGGGGCTTAAGAAAACTCAGTCAGTTTCCCACTGACCTTCTTTTTCCTGGCAGGTGGGACACACAACAACTTGGCTGGCAGCTTCTACTGGGGTCCACTGGGTCCCGCTGCTCACTGCTCCTGGGGCTAATTCTTTTAATAAAGGTTCTGACTCAAATTTTTACTGTCCGTGTTGCACCATGTAGGTCTCTGTGTGCCGCATCAGTCTCTCTGGTGGCCCGTTTCTATGCAGCTTGTTGCTCATCCAGCTCCTTAAGATGCTTCCTCCACCACTGCCATCTTGCTCTGCCTCCCACTACATATGTTTTTAAATAAAATTTTTATACTGTTTTTCTTTTATCCATCCCCCCTCCACTCATCAAATTGTGTGACCCCATGACTACCACCTCCCCCATCCTCACCCCTCTGCCTCCCCCCTTGAATCCTCATACATGTTTAACTATTTTATTTGTCCTTATGGAACTAAGTCAGGTTAGTTCACTTAGCATCCACCACTATATATTTATTTCTAACTTCTTAACTCCTTTTGTGAGACAAAAACCAAAACAAATCCATAACTTTTATATAGCAAGGAAGTTACTATATTATAGATGGATAAATACTACAACAATGTCTGAAGACTAAGGCACATGTAGGCCATAGTCTTGGCAATCACTTGCTATGCATTAGAAAGTTGGACAATGACTAAGGATGATAGAAGAATTCTTGTCTTTGTGTTGTGGTACTGGAGAAGAGTACTGAATATACCATGAACTGCTAGGAGGACAAATAAGTTCATCCCAGAGAGGGTGAAACCAGGTTGCACTTTGAAGGTAAGGATTCTGAAGTTCCATATGACATGCTCTGGGTATATTGCCAGAAGGAACAATCCTTGGAGAGGGACATCAGGCTTAGAAGAGTTGAGAGACAGTGCAAGTGAGGAAGACACTTGATGAGATGAAATGATTCAGTCACTGCAGTAATGGGGCAGGTGTGTCAGAGACATAAGGTTGGCTCAGGATAGAACAGGGTTCAGAGTTTTTGTATACAGTGTCGCTATAAGTCTTAAACAACTTGATAGCACATAACAAACTTATAAATTCACATTGTTATTTCTCATATGCCTGAGTTTATTATTTTTTTACTTTTTATTATTTTCTTATATCATCTCATTTATCTTTTATTGGATTGGTTGTCCTTAGAATTGTATCCCTTTTATTATGTTAAAAGTTGAGGCAAACGCATCCCCATGTATATCGCAGCTTTGTTCACAATAGCAAGTTGGAAACAACCTAAGTGCCCATCAACAAACGAATGCATAGAGAAGCTGTGGTATATTCACACAATGGAATACTACGCTGCATTGAAAAACAAGGAACTCATGCAATATTATTCAAAATGGGTGACCCTGGAGGACATTATGCTGAGTGAAGTATCTTAGTCACAAAAGGACAAATACTGCATGGTGCCACTGTTGTAAAACAGGACTGACCTCGGGGTTGGGGGGAGACTAAGTAAGATGGGTTCAATAATGTATACTGCATTGAAACAGATGAGGGAGAAAACTATTTAAAAGGGATATGTGATCAGGTATTTTTGTCATGACAGGAGTCCAGAGCGAAGGCTGCATAGTGGAGTGGAACTGGGGTGTGAAGGATTGCAAAACAATGAAATAATTTTTCTTTTACTTTTCTAAGAGGGTAGTGTATTGGGGGGGGTGTTGAGAGGGCAGAAAAGTGCAACAATGAATGAATGGAAATCCAAAGTCTCTATAAATTTTCATTGAAATTAATAATAAATTTTAAAAAAAAAGATTGATGCAGACTGTTGCCCAGTAGTCGTTGTCCTGATTTCTTGCATAGCACCATGGATATTTGGGATAGCAATATGTTCAGTTTAGGGAGAGCCTCCCTTGCAGTTCTGTGTGAACATGTGGCACTCACTGGACAACGAAATGTCAGCAAAAGTCAGGAAGGATCCACTGGGAAAGTGTTCTAAGGAGGCTATCTCAGGCTCAGATGGCTCTCTTTTCCTTGGCCTTTATTCTTTTTCTTCCCTCAAATGTCTTTATAGTGACTGACAATCTGGTAGTCATATTGTCCGATAGCAAGTATAAGAAAGAAAAATGAGAGGAATCTGATGTTCTCATTTCCTTGGGGGGGGGGCTCTGGTGGCTTGAAAAAACAGAAATTTATTTTCTCACCATTATGGAGACTAAATGTTAACATTAAGACATTAGCAATCAGCATCATGGGAAATAGTGATAAAGGCTGTGTAAACAGAAGCAGTATCATAACTACAGTCATAAAGGAGAATGAGGCAAGGCGGTCAAGGAAGGTCTCACTGAGGAGGTAGCATTTGAGCAAAGACAATGAAGAGCTCAAACTGGAAGAAAGCAGTCCTGGAGAGGAGGAAGCAGGTGTCGTGCTCTGAGATGGGAACATGCAGAGCGGCCAGGGAGGACTGTAAGAGGTTGAGTGGTAGGCTGTTGAGTTTAGAGAGTTGACCGAGATCAGACTGTGCAAACAATGATGAAGGCTTTTGATTTGGGGAGGATTAAGATCAAATGACACAAATTTTTATGCCTCACAACTCCAGAAACAACGTTCATGTAGACCCCAAGGGGAATGTTAGAGGCTAACTGGAGATGGAAAATGTGGTGACCCTATACAACTGCTGTTCCCGCCTGTGGCTACCATTACCACCACCAGTTACCATGGAGCTGAGCATCACTCATAACAACCATGTATGTGTCAGAGGAGACCTCTAATCCATACACTTTTCAATGACAATTTTTTTTTGGAAGTCAGTTGTCAGGCTTTTCTTCAGCTTCCTCTGAATGGACCCAAACTGCCAACCTTTTGGTAAGCAGCTTTGTGCATTAACCATGTTCACCACCCAGGAACTCCAGACATGACTAATCAGTCACAATTCCTGCTCACCCTGCACTGACCTCCTCTACACCAATCCTGGTGATTTCTCAGAGCTGAGTTGTGAGACCCCTTAAGTCACTGTTAGCAATATCTTTCTAGAAACAAAACACCTAACAGAGATGCCGGGGGACACAGAAATGTAGCAGACCTGGTCATTCCTTTATTGGAAGTGGCATGCATTGGGTTACCCTATAAGACCGGGAACCCAAGGAAATTTCAAGTTGTAGATTCAAGAGGTGTTCTTTGAGTTCATAGTGACCTTGGATAGAGCCATAAGTGTGACAATTATGCCAACGCCAGTAGACCTGGATGATGCGGACAGCATTGAGCAGGCGACAGTAACACCGGCGAATGCGCAACATACGGAAATAGGCTTGCACCTTGACGGCCGCCCATTCTTGCCGTGCATAGAGCTCCAGGGCTGCCTGCCGCTTCTTGGTTAGCTGCCTCATCAGTGTCTCGCGCCACCAGCGCTGAATGATCCGGGCACAGAGGGCAGCGTGCAGCAGAGTCCGGCGCACCAGCGTGCCACGCCACCATGCCTGGATGAACACAACTGCAGCATCTTCGGCCATGGGGTCCTTCTTTTCTTGTTCTTGCAAGATAAAACAGAGGACACTTAGAACATTTGGGAACCATTAACATGTCAGTCCCAGAGAGTGTTAGGAAGGGACCACGATCACCCCTTTGTCCACAGTTCAGTATCAGTGGGTAAGGAACTGGCTGGCACTAAAAGCCCAAGACTTCTTCTGGTTAAGGCCTTGGGCACAGGCCGTACCATCTGAGTCTCAGTGTCTTCATCTATAAAATAGAAATAAACCTGCTACTTCACTCCACCAGTAGACCATCTTTCAGTTTGCCACATCATGGAGACTTGTATGTTTCCATGATGCTGAAGCTGCAACACTGATATTTAAAATGCCAGCAGAGTCACCCATGGGGGACAAGTTTCGGTGGAGTTTCCAGACTAAGACAGACTAAAAAGCAAAACTGGTTATCCACTTCTGAAATACCTCTGAATAACCCTGTGAATGACAGAAGACCACTCACTGTGTGGCATTCAGGCTGGAAGATGTTCAAAAAATGGGGAAGAGCTGCCTCCTCAAAGTGGAATGTGTCTTAATGCTGCACGTGGAGTAAAGTTTTCACTCAATGAAGGCCTTATATCTGCTGATATGGTGAGAGTCAAAATGAGGAGGGAAGCGGCGAACATCCATTAATAATGGGAACAAGGGATGTACAAAGTATGAATCTAGGAAAATTGGAAGTTGATAAAAAGAAAATGGAATTTATAAAGATTGACATCCTAGGCATTAGGGAGATGAAATGCATTCATATTGGCCATTTTTAAAATCAGACGATCATATGATCTTCTATGATAGGAATGGCAAATTATTTAAAAAGACTATTTCAAGATCTATCCTGAAGTACAATGTTGTGAATGATAAAATACTATCTATATGCATACAAGGAAGACCTGTTAAAACAGCTATTATTCAAACACCAACAACTAAAGCCAAATACAAAGAAAATGAAGATTTCTACCAGTTTTTGCACTCTGAAATTGATTGGAAATGGAGTCAAAAGACATGAATATTAATTGATGGATGGCACTTAACAACAACAACAGAATGTAAAAGTTGTAAACAAAGAATTAGTGGAAAATATTAACTTGGTGACAGAAAGAGATGAGATAGCATGATAAAATTTTAATCATCAATGATTTATTCACTGCAAATATCCTTTTTAAAAAGCGTAAATGACAACTGTAAACATGGAATTTACCTGATGGACCACACAGGAATCAGACTGTCTATATCTATGAAAAGAGATGATAGAGAAGCTCAATATCAGCAGTCAAAATAAGATTAGGGGCTGACTGTAGATCCCACCTGAGTTTAAGCCCATCTCAAGAATATATTAGATGTATTGAACATTAATGACCCAAAACCAGATAATTTGTGGATGATGTCATCCATGAAGAAAGCAAAAGGCTGTTATAAAGACAGGAAAAAAGAAAAAAACAAATTTCACAAGAGACTCTGAAACTTATACTAGAATATAAGAAAGCCAAAACAAAGGGGGGAAATTGCTAAAAAAAGATGAACAGTAGATTACAATCAAAGGGCAGCTCAAGATGAGGGCAGGGAGGGAGAAGATAAGAGAAAAATGTTATAATGAAATAGAGCAAAATATTATAATGAAATGTGCAAAGAGCTGGAGTTAGAAAACTGGAAGGGGAGAACATGCTCAACATTTATTAAGCTGAAAGAACTGAAGATCAAATTCAAGCCCTGAGTTGCATGTGATACTGAAGGATGCTATGGGCAAAATCTTGAATGACTCAGGAAACATCAAAAGAATATGAAAGGTGGAAAAAAGAATATGGAAGGAATACATAGAATCACTGTACCAGAAAGAATTTGTTGACACTGAACCACTCAAGAAGTAGCATATAAGGAAGTTCTGGTGGCCTAGTGGCAAGAAGCTGTACTGCAATCCCAGAGGTATGTGGTTTGAACACCAGCTGGAGAAGGAGAGGCAATCTCCTCCTGTACCAGTCAGATCCAATTTGACGGTACACACACACAAAAATAATAGAATAAAATTTTTTAAAAAAAGAAGTAGTAGCATATAATCAAGAATCAAGCTGCACTGTAAGGCATTAGCATAAATATGAAGTACCATGAAGTGGTGGGATACAGATTAACATGTTTCAACAAAGAGATACAATCCTAGATGTGCTCACTAGTCTATGCCAAGAAATTTGGAAGACAGCTAGCTACCTGGCCAACTAACTGCAAAAGATCCATATTTGTTCCCATTCCAAAAAGAAAAGGTGAAAATTATCAGATGGTACCATTAATATCACATCACAACAAGTTAAATCTTGTTGAAGATTATTCTAAAACAGTACATCTACAGGGAACTGCCAGAAACTCAAGGTGAATTCAGAAGATGCTGTGGTATGAGGGATATCATTGATGATGTCAGATGGATCTTGACTGAAAGCCAAGAATACTGAAAGATGTTTATTTGTGTTGTATTGACTGTGAAAAGACATTTGACTGGGTGGATCATAACAAATTATGGCCAATATTGAGAATAATGGTAATTTCAGAACATTTTAATTGGACTCATGAGAAGAAACCTCTACATAGGCCAAGAAGAAATTATTAGAACAGAATAAGGGAACACTGTATGGTTTAAAATCAGGGAAAGTGTGCATCAGAGTTATATCCTTTCTGTATACCTATTCAATCTGTAAACTGAGAAAATAATTTGAGAAGCTAGACTATATGAGGATGAATGTGGCATCAAAATTGGAAGAAGACTCACCAACAACATATGCTGTGCAGATGACATGATCTTACTTGCAGAAAGTGAAGAAGACTTGAAGCACTTCCTCCAGAAAATCAAAGACTACAGCCTTCAATATGGACTACATCTTAACATCAGGAAAACAAAAATCCTCACCATTGGACTGATAGGCAGTATCATGATAGATGGAGAAAAGATTTAAGTTGTCAACAATTTCGTTTTACTTAGATCTACCATCAGCATAGTAGCATCAGCCAAGAAACCAAAAGACATGTTACCTTGGGAAAATCTGCTGTCAAAGATCTCTTTAAAATGCTGAAGAGCAAGAATGTCAGCTTTCACACCCATGTTTATCGCGGCTTTGTTCACAGTAGCAAGGAGTTGGAAACAACCTAAGTGCCCATCAACAAACGAATGGATAGAGAAGCTGTGGTATATTCACCCAATGGAATACTATGCTGTGTTGAAAAACAAGACACTCATGAAATATTATTTAAAGTGGGTGATCCTGGAGGACATTATGCTGAGTGAACCATCTCAGTCACTAAAGGACAAATACTGCATAGTGCCACTGTTGTAAAACAGGACTGACATCGGGGTTGGGAGGAGACTGAGAAAGATGGGATAAATAATGTACACTGTATTGAAACAGATGAGGGAGAGAACTGTTTAAAAGGGATATGTGATTAGATACTATTGTCATGACAAGAGTCCAGAGTGAAGGCTGCCTAGTGGAGCAGACCTGGGGAGAGGGATTTTAAAACAATGAAAGAATTTTTCTTTTACTTTTCAAAGAGAGGAGTGAACTGGGGGGCGGGGGGCAGAGAGAAAAGTGCAACAGTGAATGAAGGGGGGGGGAAGAATGTCAACATAAAGACTGCAAAGTGCCTGATTCAAGCCATTGATCATAAGATAATTTTCAATTGTTTCCTATGCATCTGAAATTTGGATAATGAATGAGGAAGACTGATGGAGCATTGATGTCTTTGAATTGTGGTATTGGCAAAGAGTAGTAATTATTTGCTAAAAATCATACAAATCTGTCTTGGAGAAAGTGCAACCAGTGTGCTCCTTAGAGGCAAGACTGATGAAACTTTATCTCAGAAACTTTGGGCATATTGTCAGAAGCAAACCAGTACTTGGAAAAAGATATACTGGGAAACGTAGAAAGCCAGAAAAAGAAAAAGAAAAAAAAAGAAGACGACGACGTTCAGTGAGATAGATTGACACAGTGACTACATCTTTGGTGAACACCATTGAAACCCAAGGATCAGAGACATCACAAGTCCAAACTTTCCTCAACACCCTAAAGCCTGGACCACAACTCCATGAAGGAAGGGGCAAAGAGGGAAGTGATGGTGATGTTGATGAGGAAATTGGGACTAGGGTTGCTTCCTCATCTCACCTCTGTTCCTTCAAACTCTGTTCTGTCAGTGCAATGTCATCATTATCTTTTACTGCTTTTTGAAAGGGTATTGTCCTTTGTATAAGAGTTTAGGATGGAGACGTAAAAAAGAGTGACTGTTCTCTCCACTGCTCTGTGCCAAGTCAACCTCAGAGTCAAGTTCAAGACCTTTTTTGAGACCATGGGTGGGCGTGGGGAAAGGAGAGTGTGAAGGGAGAGTCCAGCCTAAAATAACTGGGAAATATACCCTGCCTTTTCAGCAAGCTTGGGTGAAACTCTCTTATAAAACATGGCTTGCGGGTGGGTGGTCAAGTCCCCTTAGATCTATGAGCTATTAAATTACTCATGGTTGGACGATAGATGGTTCCATCTCAGGTCTGCTTTCCTTCTGCTGTGGCTCCAGCAGGAAGAGTGGAGTGGAGGAGGGAGCAGTGATGTCATAATGGCATTGTATGATTGAGGAGTCAGTACAGCTCCTAACAGTTGAGCCTCTTCTAGGAGAAAGGTGGAAGACCTGTCCTTTCCTGCCAAAATGGCTGGAGTCCTGGGTATGAGAACAGAACTCCTCAAATTCTGACATCAAGGTGTATACTGACACTCTTTAAAACTTCAGTAAACTAAACCCATTGCTGTAGAATCAGTTCCCACTCACAAGTAACCTTTTCTGAGGTTATAAATCTCTACAGGCAGAGATTGTTCATGTTTCTCCTGTGGGTTGACTAGTAGATTCGAACCACCAACCTTTCATACAACATACAACACACTTCTCAAATGGGGATCCTACAACCTGCTGGTACTCATTAAATTAATTCTAGTTCAATTAAACAATGTTATACCAGACAATACCAGGCACCAGGGATGTCATTACT